ACAAGTAGAAAAGAAGGAAGGGGATATTCTAGATTTCTCAAGCATCTAGAAGTAAATATCAGAGATATTTCATAATAGTATATACTTTTATCGCTGATACGTCTTTCTCTAAGTAATCTCTTCAGGGATACCTTTTCCAGTTGGCCACTTATTTTTTTCTCTCTCACTCTGTTGCCCTGGCTAGAGGGCAGTGGCATCATCACAGCTTATTGCAACTTCAAACTCCTGGGCTCTAGTGATCCCCCAACTCAGCCTCTCAAGTAGCTGGGACTACAAGTGTGCACCATCATGCTCAGTTAATCTTTCTATTTTTGGTAGAGAGAGGGTCTTGCTCCTGCTCCGGGTGACCACTTGGTTTCATTAAATATACATTATGGCAGCAACTGCACATTCGGCCCTGGAGCCCTGTAGAAGTCTCAGTGCATACAGATTGCTTCATAGTTCAGGAGGATAGAAACATGACTAGTCTCTTGTTGTTATCAAAATTAGAAATCTTTTTGGTCCCATCCTTGACTTTTATTTAACTCAGCAAATACTGCCTGCACATCTACTAGGCGCTAGGCATTAAACTTGATGCTAAGGATATCAAGATGAATGTAATATGGTTGTTACCCTTGAGGAGCTTAGAGTCTAGCAGGAAAGAATGGTGTGAGGGATGGCAAGGCTATGAGTTCATAGCCTAATAAGTGTATGGGGAAAACACCTCACATTTGTAAGGGAATCTATTACGTATTCATTCTTCAATATGTAAAGTACAGTCAACCCTTGAACAATGCAGGTTTTTACTGCATGGGTCCACTTACAGACACATTGTTTTTCAATAAAAGTTCACAGAGTGTGTCCTCCTCCCCTGCTTCCCAGTCCCCCTCATCCACTTCTGCTTCTGCCTCCCTTGGGATGCCAACACAACCTCTTCTTCCTCCTCCTCCGCCTACTCACAGTGAAGACCATGAGAATGAAGACCTTTATGGTGACCCACTTCCTCTTAAGGAATAGTAAATATATTCACTCTTCCTTATAACTTTCTTAATAACATTTTCATTTCTCTAGCTTACCTTATAAGAATACAGTACATAAAATATAACACACACAGTATGTGTTAATCAAGCTTTTTATTATCAGTTAGGCTGATCAGTTAACAGGAAGGTTTCTAGTTAACAGGAAACTATTAGTAGTTAAGTATCCCCCCACCTTTTTTTCTTTCTAGAGACTGGGTGGGGATCTGTCACCCAGGCTGGAGTAGAGTGGCACAATCATAACTCACGGCAGTCTCCAACTCCTGGGCCTTAACCTCTTGAGTGGCTATGACTATGGGCATATGCTACCATATCTGACTAATTAATTTTAATTTTTTATAAAGACAGACTCTTACTATGTTGCTTAGGCTGATCTCAAACTCCTGACATCAATTGATCCTCTGGCCTCATCCTTCCAAAGCACTGGGATTACAGACATGAGCCACTTGCCAATAGTTAAATTTAGGGGGGATCCAAAAGTTATGTGTGGATTTTCAACTGCAGGGGGGTCAGCACCTCTATCCCCATGTTGTTCAAACATCAACTGTCGTACCTCAGCCCTCCGATTGGCAGCGGAAGAATTTGCACTCAGAGAAGAGACAGCTGGGCATTCCTCTTGTTCTTCCAGATTTCCTCATTCTTGTTAATCTCTCAGGTTTCTTCAACCTTCAATCTCAAGGGCTGAGAGACTCATCCCTTATAGAGTCCCCTTACAGACTTATTCCTAGGGTTCACTGGAGGCCAGGATGGACTATTTAAACAGAATTCAACTAAGTTTATGGACAGCCAAAAAGTGAGAAATGCAGCCTAGTTTCCATCAGTTAATGTCCTCAAAGTCCAGACCCAAAGCAAAAAAGCCCAGAGGAAGATGGTGTGAGTGTGTATGTGTGTGCGTGTGTGTGTGCGTGCGTGCGCTGGAGCTGTGGGAGCTGGGTGATGTTTTACATTGTCTCGGTAGTCATCTTGCATGAATGGGAAGTCTCCATGACATACTGTTAAATGAAAAAAAATATTTTTTTTGAAAAAATAGTTTTAAGGCAGCATTTATTTATTCATTCAAGAAAAACTTATTGAGTACCTACTGTGTGCCAGGCATTGCTACATGTTGGGACATAGCTGTGAATAAGTCAAATGTGAGTACTTTTCATATGCAATTATCAATCAGACATAAATTCAATATATCATTAATAACAACATGCACATTTCTACATTCATGTGAATGTGCATCTTATTGTGTTCTTAGTTTCTTATTTAGGGCCTCTTATAGATAACTTATTTATTTAACAAACACTTTATATAGAACCTAATAAGAAACAGTATTGTCCCAATATTAACTCATGTAAGCTTTATATACGTTTATGATGTATTATTAGTATGATCTACATTTTATAGATGAAGAACCAGAGACGTAGAGAGGTTAAGTAACTTTAATGTCACACAGTAAGAACCAGAGCTAGGATTTGACCCCAGAAAGTCTGGTCCCAGAGTTTATGCTCTTAACCATGACTGCAAATTCCTAACACCTGTAACAAGTCCATCTGATCCTCTGTCCTTAAATGTGTAGCCAAAGACCATAATCTTAACCCATAGGCTCAAGCATACAATATAGTACTATTGTTCCTTGGTATCCGTGGCATATTGGTTCCAGGTCAGAGCTGGGATGCACACATCCCAAAGTCAGCCTTGCAGAACTGCAGATAGGAAAAGTGGGCCCTCCATATATGTGGGTGTCCAAATCCTGAGAATACTGTATTTTTGATCCATATTTGGTTTCAGATGCAGAACTTGCCAATAAAGGGTGCTGACTAAATTTTGGGGAAAAAAATCCACATATAAGTGGGCCTGCTCAGTTTCAGCCTGTGTTACAAGGGGCAATTGTACCCATAGACGCAGACAAACTCACACTGTATCCTTCAGGGTCTGGGTCTGGGGATGCACAGCAGTGGCAGCAATAAAGGTCTTTTGGCCACTGTTGCATTTATGGATTATTGGTTTACAGTAAAGGCACAGACACTAATTAATTAAAGGAAGAAAAGGGGCAAAAGAGGGAGGCAGAGTTGGGAGTTTGAGGGGACATTGGAGGTATTTGTATCAAGAAAACCATTCTGAGAGAAACTCCTAAAATTATCACAGAATTGAACTCTGAGTTTCTTGAAACCAAGGCAAAAAAGAAAATATGGTGAGTTACATGTCTTTTGCTGTCTGATCAAAGGAAAGACCTTAACAGTAGCCTAGCTGCACCATATTTTGGTTTGTGGTTTATAGTTACTGTTGTCTCTTTGCAGCATTTTGCTTTGGTGAGTCTGCTATTGTGGTTTGTTCCCCCTCCCCCATTCCCAATACTTCTCAACTCTGCTGTGCCACTTGAAATTGTATTTCTGTGTGCCAGCCAGCTGGATAACAATATTTATTGAACTTAGCACCCTCTGGATACAGAACTCAGGTGGAGGTCAGGGGAGGAAGATTTATGCAAGACAAGATTCTTCCCTCTAAAGATGTTTTTAATCCAACTAAGAGGATGAGCACACCCTCATGAAGTACCTAAATAACAATTTTAAAAAGAAAAACACACCCAAACCAAAAATTATTACTACTATATGATTCCAAACCATCTAGGAAGGATGAACAAGTGAGGCCAGTAAAGAAATAGTAGACTTTTTCCAGGTGGGTTTTGATCTTGAATCTAAATGTTGTTTTTTTGTTTGTTTGTTTGGTTGGTTTTTTTTACAGTTTTGGCCAGAGCTGGGTTTGAACCCACCACCTCTGGTATATGGGGCTGGCAGCCTACTCCTTTGAGCCACAGGCACCACCCTGATCCTGAATTTAAACCAGGGGTCCTCAAACTTTATCAACAGGGGGCCAGTTCACTGTCCCTCAGACCGTTGGAGGGCCAGACTGCGTGCCCCAGGACAAGTTGGCTGCTGAGCAGGACAGGCAGTGGCAGCAAAAACACATGGGCTGGCCGGATTAATGTCCTAGGTGGGCCGCAGGTGGCCCGCTGGCTGTAGTTTGAGGATGTCTGAAAGGGTCTTGGACTGGTAGGATAGAAGAGCATTCCAGAGCCAGGGATGAATGTGAGGATGAGTGAATCACATGTAGGGAGGGGTAAAGACAATCCTGTAGATGTCTTTGACGGAGGGACATACCAAGAAATAAGAAAACAAAGGAGGTTCTGCCCTGCATCCATTGGGTGATTGTCTCAGGAAAAGGTTGCTGGAGGCCACTGGAGGTGTGCCTCATTTTATGCTACATTTTTTTAAAAATACAAAACAGGTGTTGAGCATCTACTATGCATCAAGCACTGAGCTAGATGTTTTAACCCTCATACCTATTCTATAAAGTGGACATTATTTCCATTTTGCAGACGAGGCATAAGGTCAGCAGTGAGGTTAAGAGGCACAAGTGCCAGGGCTGTCTAGCTATTACAGGGTGGAACCCTGAATAAAGTCGGTTTGTCTGACCACAAAGCCCAAGCTTTCATATGTGTCACACACATTTTTGCTGAAAATTTAAGATACACTAGAGATGATTATTTGAAGAAGTCCTACAGGCATGTAAATATAAGACATATTATCCAGAAGCATTTTTGCCAGGATTTAAGGGCAATGATTTTCTTGACGGCATGCACAATAGTAGTTTATTTCATTAACAATTCATCATTTTGCCCCATTTGACGCCAGATAATGCCACTGAAAATACCCGTAAGACATTTTTTTACGTTACTCCTCCCATTAATCAGAGAATCTCGCAAAGCAATGCCCAGGGCCAAACCAATCCATCCCAGGAGGCAGTTTAGTTTCCCAGGCTGCGGAGACCGGGAGAGGTGTGTCCAAACTAAAAGGAGGGTTGAGAGAGATGAGGACACTTTGCGCGACTGAGAGACTGGATGTAGGCGGGGAACAGCTGGCCTGGGAAACAACCCATCCGGACCCGGGACTCACGGGGCGTGGCAGGGCCGCCCGGGCCGCTGCAACCTGCGCATGCGCGCGGGGCCGCGCCGGCCACGCCCACACAACCGCCGCCTCCTCGCCGTCGCCCTACACGGTTCTCTTGGCTCTCCGCCCCTCCTTCTCGCGGCGCTCGAGGGACCATGGCCGATCCTCGGGTGAGACAGATCAAGATCAAGACCGGCGTAGTGAAGCGGTAAGGAGCCGCGAGCGGCGCAGCCGCCTGCATCTTCTCTTCCTCGCCTCATGGCGGCCCGTGAGGTTGGGCAGAGTGCAGGCCTGAGGCGGACTCGGGGCTCCAGGCCTGGCTTCGGGCTCTGCGGCCGGCGGGGACTGGCAGGGATGGAGCGGGGCGCGCCAGCATTCGAGCCCGCGGGCCGGGAGCGCCGCTTCCCGTCTCTGCCCTCCGGAGGGGCCCAGAATTGCGGCGAGAGTCGGTGGCGGCCCCACCCCTCGACGCCCGGTGGGGAGGAGGTGGGAGGCGCCCTGGAGCGGGCGGGTGGGCCGGGCCTGGTCGCGTATCCCCGGTGGGCGCGAGCGGCGTCTCCTGCTCTAGCGAAACTTGACCCGGGGCCGACCATCCCGTCGGTTACCTGCCTTCGGGGGGACGTGAAAGCAGGTTCTCAAGTTTAGGGGGAAGCTAATAGCCGGGCCTCATCCAGAAAGAGACCGTAGTGGAGCCCGGTGACCTGCTAACATGGCTGGCGTGACTCGCAGAGTTTGAGAACTGGGGCGTGAACTTCAGCACACTCAGCAAACTTCTGTGGCCTCACCTTCTCCAGTCTACTTCCCTAAGGCGGTGGGATGCTGTTTAACCATCCTGGGTAGGACAGGCCTGTAATTTGCTCTAATCCCTGACTACCGGAGGAAACTTAAATGGTCATTAGAACTTTATTGTTCAGACCAAAGAAGATCAAACTGTTACGGATGAAGCATTCATTCCAAGAGAAAAAAAAAAAAAAACATTCTGAAGAAGCAGGTTGTTTTGCAGTAGAAATGTCTAATCCTAGGCACCTGGCCTCTTCCTCTTTGCTCACCTTTCCTCTGTTGATATTTCCAGGAGAGGAAGGACAATTCACTTTTTAAGATACTGCCTCTGAGTTTTAGCACAGCATCACATTGTCCTTCCCTGGAAGCTTTCTTTATCACTAAGGCAGAAAGGAGAAGGTAGGAGTAGTAAACTCACAGCCTTTTCTGAAGTGAGACTGCCTGAGTTCAGATCTTGATTCTACCATTTATTATGTGTTCTGGGATTATTAGATTGCACTGTGTCTGTATAATGCAGATTTTATAATAGAGTCACCTCATGCAGTTGCAAGGGACACCTGCCATGGTGTTCAGTTTAACAAAGCATGTGGCAAATAGCAAGTAGCTAGTAAATGTACAGTAATATATATATATTTTTTGAGACAGAGTCTCACTTTGTTGCACAAGCTAGAGTGCTGTGGCATCAGCGTAGCTCGCAGCATCCTCAAACTCCTGGCTCCAGGGATCCTTTTGCTTCAGCCTCCCCAGTAGTTGGGACTCCAGGAGCTGGCACCCACCAGTAGGCCTGGGTAATTTTTTCTGTTTTTAGCAGAGGGAGGGTCTGGCTCTTGCTCAGGCTGATCTTGAACTCCTGAGCTCTATTGAGCCTCCCACCCACCCTTTCCAGAGTGCTAGGATTACAGGCATGACCTGTTGCACCTGGCTTAATGATACTGTTGTATTCCCATTTTACGGGTGAGAAACAGATTTAATGAAGTTGATAAAATGAAAACAAACTCATGTAAGATCACAGTGCTAATTAGTCGCAAAGCAAGAAAAAGGACCATTTTCTGATGTATTATACAACTTTTTCCTTTAAGCTACAATGCTCCAGTAAACAGTATTTTCAAAATTTGTGATAATAGGGAAACTGAGGAATATAACTGAAAATGTAAATAATAGCCTGTCGCTCAGCCCAGTGACCTGTTGTTCACTTTTGCTAGACTACTTTGGTTATATCATTGTAGTCAGTACATTTGGCAGAAGTACCAGAGTATTGTGGACAGCTGTAGATGGGAGGTCACAAGAAATGACTTTTAGTAATAGTTTCCTATTCATTACTTATGTGACCTTAACATTTTTCATACTCATGGTCTAAACTAGTTTATAAAATTATTCAGTTTGAGTGGTTATGTACTTAAAATATTTATTGTAGAGAAAATAAATTCATTTAGATAATTATAAACTGAATTTTTAGACTTAAAATTTTTAGGTGCTTATGTAAATGGCTTGGAAATAAGTATCATTTTCATGAAATCCTTTCATAATTTACTATAATCTCAAATCCTTTATAAATTAATGGAAATAGACATTTCTTTTGCTATACCTTTTTTTTGGTCATGGCTTTTTTCATTTCATTTTAGGGTACAACTTCTGTTTAGGTACTAAAATGAAAATGTATGATTTAGCTGTTTACTTGCCTTTTCATGCAACCATTTAACTCCATAAATAAAGTCTTTTATTTTCTCTTTTGTTATTTTTCTCCTGAGAATTATTTTACTGTGGCTTGTTCCATCTTCTGCTATAGTAACCTATTTTTTAAAATCTGCATTTTACCCCAGCAAAGAAAAAAGTAGATGAGGCAGATGTGGTAACATATTAATAACTATTGGGGCTGAATGATCATGGGGCTTCATTATTCTCTATATGTTTAAAAATTTCTCATAGGGTTTAAAGGCTGTATATTTTTTCTCCTCTCCAAATTTAGTTTCAAAGACTTCTTAATTAATTTTATGATTCATACGTGTTATTGGTTTTGTGAAAGAAGATCCTGTTTATTTATTTTTTTTTTAAAGCTAGTTTTTATTCTCAATACTCTTTTTCTAGTAAGGTATTCATTTACCCCACAACGGCATTTCTCTTAAGAAATTTCAACCTTTATTTGGAAGAAGAGATTTAAAGTAATTATTAATAGCCCCAGTTCCTTCACTCTTCTCTGTAGAAATTGAGAGCCACTAGAAATTATATTGTAGGTATTTGTCCTGCAGTACAGTTTGGGTAGGCCATATTAGGATGGGTGGATTCTTAGATTTTAGATTCTAATCAAATATGGTAGAACACTTCAGGTGATTCAGAACTTCCTGATAGTGATGGTGGGTTTTAGAAAGAAATTTGAACAGGCTTAGGGGAATGTTGGGGGAATATGAAAACAGGCAGTAAATAGATGGTAGTATTTGGCAGCAGGGAGATTGAGCAGTGTGAGTGGAAGATGGCCATTTTAGCACATTGGCAAAATGGTGACTTTCCTCTAGTGGATGGCAGCCCACATTAACAAGGAAAGTAGAAGCAAGTTTAAGGGGCAGTATTTTTAGTCCCTAAGAAAATAAGTGGAAGGCTCACGGTATCCTATTCCTAGAAAAACTTTGTTACCTTGTATAGTAAGAAAGAAAACCATCTGATTTCTGGAAATGGGCTTTGAGAGGGAAGCTAGATTATTAGCAATAGGGAGAGAAAACAGTTATTAGGAATGACACAGGAGTCCTCAAAGTTTTTAAACGGGGGGGGGTGGGAGCGGGCGCAGGACTGCTGGCCCAGGATGAATCAGCTGCTAAGTAGGATAGGCAGTGGCAAAAACACCCTACGGGCCGCAGTTTTGAGGATGCCAGAGAACAGCAGTGAGACTGACTCTGTGCTGAGCCTCTTGACCTTAAAAAGGCTTCTTAGCAATCCTCTTAGGTACAGGTTTTATGAATTATTATTGTTTTTAGTTGACACATAATCATATTTATGGAGTACAGTGTGCTTTATCAATACATGTTTACAGTATGTAGGATTTTTTTTTTTTTTCCGAGAGCTAATTCTTATGAAAATAGGTGAATACATTAGAGGCTGGATGGGTTATTATACTAAGTTTCTTTGAGATGCGGCCTTTGTTCACATGTGACTCACTGGTAGTGGGTATTAGTTGGCAGTTTTGGGTCTGCCTGGCTGTTTAAGATTTGGATCTGTTTCCAACAGATTATTAGACTATTTATACCTGTGACAAGATCACAGCTAATCTGGCAGCCCTGGCAGGGAGTTACCAAATGACATGCTACCTTTCTTCTCCAGCACAGAACTATGAAATCTCTATTTTTTTGATATGAAGGTGGTATTAATTGTCCTGTTTGCCTGGAACTGAGGCATTTTTCAGAATGTGACACTTTTAATGCTAACTGGAAAAGTCCCAGGTAAAGTAGGAAAATTGTTCATCTCTTCTTTAACTAGCTAACAGGTTTTGTGTGTGCTGTGATTAATTTGTAGCCTATTTGCAGATAGTACAGCTGTGAGTTATATTGTGCCTTAAATTAAAATTTTAAATGCTAAGGGTGGCGCCTGTGGCTGGAAGAAGTGGGGCACCAGCCCCATATGCTGGAGGTGGCAGGTTCAAACCCAGCCCTGGTGAAAAACTACAAAAAAAAAAAAGCTTAAAAAAATGAAATTTTAAATGCTAGGCGTGAATATGAATCTTTGCTAGAGTAGCTTTTTCCTGTGTTAATATAAATTGTTAATTATTTGGAAAATAATTTTCACTAAAGTGGAAGAAAATATACAATTCCTATTTTGTAAATGTTGATAGGGTATTTTGGCTGACTTATGTACATCAAAAGTTTCCAAGTAAATTTGTGTGTATAAAATAAATTTTTTTTAACTAGTGCTAAATTCAAGAAATTCTTCTCCTATGAAAAAAATGCTTTCAGCCATTTAACCTAAAGTTTACTTAATAACTTTGAAGGCAACTTATTTTTAATAAAGCCCACTAAAGTAGCCCACTGGTGAGTGAATTAATTGAATAAAAATACTTTCTTTAATATATCTTTTTATAACCATTTTAGATTGGTAATGGCTTAAAATTCTGTGTGAACAAAGAATGTTAGGACATTGGAAATAGCATTGACATTGGCCCATAGTTTTCCTGTGATTAAATGAAAGTGACACAAGTAGATTAGAATGAGACTAGGACAATTCACACTGCAATTGTGTTAGTTTAACTTTAACAATCTTTTAACGCTCTTGTTTAAATGTAGCTGACATACCATAATTACAAATCTACAAGCCTTGATTATAGAATTTTACATCATGAACCTATGGGGAAATTGTATTGATTTTTTTTTTTTTAATAAAGCAAGCATCGTTCCCAAATTGTGGCATATTCCTAAGTTTGTTTATCCCTTTATCTCTGATATACAA